AGATTAGGGGTACCTTACTGGGGGTTTAGGGTTTAGGGTTTAGGAGTACCTTATTGGGGGTCCCTATAATAAGGACTATAGCATTTGGGGGCCTATATTGGGGTCCCCCAGTTTTGGGAAACTACCATGTTAGGGATGTGCGGGGCGCTTATGGAGACGAAATAATTGAAGGCAAAGTAAAGAACTACCAGAACCTACTCTTCGGCTCGTAGTCTCCCTTAAGTAAATAGAATATCGCCCAAGATCATAGTAAGATCCACATATACCCTGATATTCCATCTATTTAATCAGGGGAAACCTAAACCCGAAACCCTATAGCCTACAAACCATAGATCCTGAACTCTCAGACCTAAACCCTAAGCCCTAAACCCTATAGCCTATAAACCCTAAACCCTCAACCCTAAGACTTAAATCCCAAACCCTAAACCCTAAAAACCCCAAACCCCCAACCTCAAACCCTAAACCCCAAACCCCAACCTTAAACCCTAAACCCTGTAGTGAACTGCGAGGTGTTGCCTTGCCTGGAGGTCTCCATATAAGTGCATCGCCTTCGGCCGCCTTCCAGAACCTGGTCAAAGTCAACTTCCAGCTAGCTTAGGGTTTAGGGTTTAGGGTTTAGGGCTTAGGGTTCAGGGTTTAGGGTTTAGGGCTGGAAGGGGCAACCCTACAACTTAAAGCTTGGGGTTATAAGGGATAATGGAAACAAGAGTGGAAACTACCATCTGTATATATATATATATACGGGTGATATAAGGATAATAGAAAATGACATGGAAACTACTACATCATAATAGGGTATAAATTGGGGTTATATTGGGATAATGGAAAAGAAATGGAAGCTCCTATATAGCGTTTAGTGTTTAGGATTTCAGCCCTTTTTAGTGTGCAAGCTCTTTCCGCTATTTTGAACGGTATAGGAGCCCGCGCAGACCAACACTTCTTGCTCAAGCTTCTGAAGATCAGTGACAGAGATCCCCACGCAAATACTCACCATGTTGGGAACATACCTGCGTGGTAATCACAAGGGCTGTTCTCGAAGTTAAGGGGCCCTTCTGGTTGTATATTCTATTACGGCACCTAATAATTCAGGTGTACCAAAATGGGACCCTAATTTTGGGAACTACCCACAAGGGTCTTCCAGCATGATGACTCAAAGAGCAGGAGGGATTCCCTCCCTCATCCGCACGGCGGATGGAGGAAATCTTGCACCACTGCGGAACCCCCATATGGGGCTTTCTCAAAATTAGGGGTACCATCTTGGGGGTCCCAATAATTTGAATCTTAATATGTAGGGGTCTATGTTGGGGTACCCCTATTTAGGGAACCTACCATATACAGGATGGTGCAACATTTCCTCCATCCGCGGTATGCAACTTCCCAAATTGGGGATTCCCTAAATTATGGATACCTTTCTGAGCGTCCCCATAACAAGGACTATAGTACTTTGGGGTCCATGTTGGGGTCCCCACGTCAGCTAAATCCTAAGTCCTAAAACCCTACATTCTAAACCCTAAATCCAAAACCCTAAATCCTAAAGCCTAAACCCAAAGTCCCAAACCTGAAACCAGCCTGCCGCATCTCGTCGGGAGACCGGATGGGAACGGACTTCAGGCCCTCGCAGGTGAAGGCCTTGTGGCCCACCAGGGAGTCCTGTAACGTTCTCTGTTTGAATAGGGTTGTCGGCTTGTTTTTTGTTGTCCACTCCTTTTTGCCTCTTGCAACAGAAAGCGTCTCAAATGGGGTTTGGGGTTTAGGATTTGGGGTTAAGATTTTGTCTCTGGCTGCCGGGCCTCCGAAATTAGGTGTCCACGCTTGTAATGCGTAGGGCCGGGCAATTCTCATGGTATCAGATTGAAAAAGACTCAAGGACGGCGCTGTCATTGATAGTAATGATACAGAATTTGAGATGACACACTGCGATCATGACCTGGGTACTGCCCCCACCCTGTAACGGTCTATATCAGGGATCATATTAAGGGCAAGGTATATAGCTATAGTGTGAATATCTTACAACTGTTACGGAGCGGGGGCAGTACCCAAGTCATGACAGCATTCTCCCCGCCTGCTTGACCTCAAGCTTGGCCTGGCACAAATTCAAAATCAAGGGCGCAAGACAAGCGTGGCTTGCAGGTCCTCATCCGCTTTGTTTGCCAGAAGGTCGATCAAGTTCTCGCGGACCCCGTCAGGAGAGTAAATCTCCAAAAAGGAAGCCTGGCCATGAAGTGCCAGATGTTAATTTCCCCCTTTTGGTGGTTTTCTAAAATTAGGGGTACCATTTTGGCGGGTCCATTTCATAAGGACTATAATATATTGGGGTCCCCCAATTTGGGGAAACTACAAATTTTCCGAACAAGGAATGAGGCGATGCTTTCTCCACCGCTGAATGCTTTGAGAGCGAAATCGGATGCAGCTGCCAGCCTCAACGGTGAAAATCTCGCCTCTCGCACTTCTGTCCTGAGCTGAAGGTGTAGGGCTTTATATAGGGATTATCTGGGGGTTAGATAGGGGTTATATAGGGTTTATATAGGGGTTATATAGGGGTTGTATAGGGGTTGTATAGGGCTTCTATATCTGGGGATTATATAGGTGTAATATAGGGGTTCCACCCTATACCCCAAAAGGAGGATATAATCTTACTGTATATTGGGTACCATAGTATCCGTATCCCCACATGAAATACTACTCATCTGGGCTCGGAGCCCGGATGAACTCGAAGATGCGCTTGGCCGCGCGCTGCGCAGAAAAACTCTAGAACAGTCAACAGCAACTGTGGAAGCCCAGCGCACCTGAACGATCCCCTGCTGTGCTGCAACCACTTCAGGGGGTGGTGGATCCTCATGCACACTTCTTGCTGTTATTACTACTGCCATTACTGTTGTTATTACTACTATTACTATCTTTATTTGTATTCCTATTCTGGTTATTCTTACTATTCCTATTGTTATTCTTGTTAATATGCTTATTATTACCAATCAGGAGAGCACCTCCTACTGTAGAGCAGGTATCGTTCAACTGTCCTTGACTTGCTTGGCCAAGGGCTCCTGGCTTGCTTACAGTTGGGGCTTATCGGGAAATAGGGTCATAATATACGGCTATAGTCTATGGCTATAATAACGGGGTATAATATAAGGCTATAAAATAGGGCTGTAATGTAGGATTATAGTATAGGGTTATAATATATCAATTGAATCTATTGTCTATTGAGGGCGTATTGTCAGCGCGCTGCACCATAAACTGATGCCACATTAATCGCACCCGAAGAGCGCATGACTCAGGGTTTGTCCGCTGCTTGATACGTCAGTAACGGATGCTTTTGTGGTCTTGGCGAAAGCTGGCACAGCAGACTTTGGGCAAGTGCTAGCGTGGCTCCAGGGCACTTAAGCGTCTCCGCTGCACTGCGTGAGGACAAGTTCACACCAACACAAGCACATTTCGTGCATCTCTGACGAAATTGATTGAGCTCTCCTTCGGCGGACCACTCATCGTGTGAGTTTTGCCGGAGCCTTTCAGTCTACCATCATTTGGGCATGTTACTTGGCCATGAAGTGGGCCATAGCCTAAACTCCGTGCTTCCCCCTTAATAACCCCCAGACTATGTAATCCCGCGCTAAGGAATGTATATATATATATATGTATATAACCCTTAACTCTATATAACCTCCTTTAATTTAAGGAGTTTAGATTCTGGCTCAGGTGGCTTCTGACACTAACTTGCAGGAGGCGCCTGTGATGCCATAGCCTCGCTGGGAGAGTTGAGATGAACAACTTGGAAAGTAAGTTTCTATGATTTCCCCAAATCAGGGATACCTTAAAAGGGGATATAGGCGGTTATGTAGGGATATGCAGGGATTTATGTAGGGTTCAGGGTTTAGGGTTTCCCAAATTAGGGTTACTTTTTGGGGTCTGCATAGTAAGGATTCTTGCAGTTTGGGGTATATATGGTAGTTTCGCAGAATAGGGGACCCCAAAAGAGACACCCCAAAAAAGTACCCCTCATTTTGGGAAACTCCTATATTGGGGTCCCCCTAACTATCGAAACTCTCAGATGAGGCTGCCACAGAAGACTACGCCGTTGTAGCCTTCCATCACCCTGACCAGATTTTGGCTCCATATACGAGACTGCACTATAATCTGCTATATACTACACAGTATAACTATAATGGACTGTACTGTACTATACTATAAGATAGTTGAGAGCAAGTTGTCAGCAAATGTCATTACTGTTGCGCCAGAAGCCTGTCCACAACGGGAGCTACGTGATCGAAGACATCCTAAGCGGCAACATGCACACACATGCATTCAGACCCTGCATGACATGTAGCATGTCATCCACAAATGCATATGGACTCCAACCTACTATAGTCCTTTCTATGGGGACCCGCAAAAAGTATCCCTAATTTTGGGAGACCCCAAACCCTAAACCCTATATACTCCCTGTAGATCCATAATATCTAATCCCTATAACCCCTTTATATGGTACCTCTAGTTTTGGGAAACCCCCACATACTAAACTCAGCACGATCCGCGCCGTGGCTGAGGTCAGGACTGCTTGGGTACCTTCCTCGGCAATGAAGCCTTGAGGGTTTAGGGTTTAGGGACCTAGGGCTTAGCCTTTTAGGGTTTAGGGGCTTAGGGTTTAGCCTTTTAGGGTTCAGGTGCAAGAGCACATGCATGCAGCATGGGTGAAGATTCCCCAATCCGTTCTGAGCTCGATGCCATTGCAGCGGAACTCTTTGCTTTCAGATGGCCGACTCCTGAGACGTAGTGAAAGGCAATGACCAGAGTCTTAACAAAGCTTTTGACTTAAAGCAGCTCTGCAACATGATGGCATGATCATCTTCCGTCAAGCACATTAAATCATGAACCTGTCTGATTCGATTTCTGGCAGAGCATGGCAGAGCTGCTTCATTATAATTTACTATAGTATACTAATATGATACTATAGAATATTGTGGTATATTGTCGTGTGTATATATATATATTATATACTATTGTATAGTTTTGTGTACTATAATGATATCACAGTACATGACACGAACGGGTCTTGGCACCTGCCATTCAGGCCATTCTCTTCAGACCCCAGTCGTAGGATCACCTGTCAGCCAGAACATGGGGCTCCGCATTTGCGTTTCCACTTCAGAATAAGGTTTGCATAGGGATTGTAGGGCATATATTGAGGTTACATAGGGGTTGTAGGGTATACATTGGGATTCTATAAGGGAATATAATCTAAACTCCTAGTATCCCCTTAATAAAACCCCTACAATAATCCCCTATATAATCCCTGCTATAACCCCCTTGAAGGAGTTTCAGCATAAACTATCGCTCATACTCCGTTGTCTTGTCCATTTGGTTTTCCATTTTTGGGGCAACATTCCCCCTAATCATAATTCATTGATTTGGTGCACCACCCAGATCGATGAGCCATGTGCCTTCCCACTCTTGGTGGAAGAGGTCGAGAACTTGATGCGCGTGCCCTGAGCCGCATGAAGGATTTAGGGTTCAGGGTTTAGGCTTTAGAGTTTAGGATGTAGGGTCTCAGGATTTAGGTTCAAGAGTTTAGGGTTTAGGTGTTAGATCTTAGGGTTTAGGATTCACGCTGTCCTCCTTCAAAAGTGGGCGGCACCGCACCAGCACCCCAACTGGAGCTCCAGAGTTGACCTGCCGGCAGAGCGACTTTCTGCTGCTACAGGAGCTATAGCTGTAGTCTAAATGAACTCCTAGTGTCCCCCTTAGGGTCTAGGGTCTAGGGTCTAAACTCCGAGTATCCCCCTTGAATGAGCCCCTTAATACTCCCCTATATACTCTTTTATATAACCCCCCCTTTAAGGAAATTGGATTACAGCTCACCTATTGCCATCTCCAAACCCTAACCGGCGCATCATTTATAATCAGTTGGAAAGAAAATGGAACCATGAAATGGATACTACAATAAACTTGGGAGTATGTAGGGATCTAACCTCAGCATGGAGCATCAAATGAAAAAAAACGCGAAACATGAAATTTGAACTCGGGGTATAGATAGCTCCCGGATATAGACCCCAAAATACGATTATCTTTTGGGGACCCCCCAAGAGGTACCCCTAATTTTGGGAACGCCTCCCCCTCCAATAATGATACTTACCCAACTTGTGCTTAAACCCTAAACCTTAAACCCTAAACCCTAAACCTTAAACCCTAAACCCTAAACCCTAAACCTTAAACCCTAAACCCTAAACCCTAAGCCCTAAACCCTAAATGCCCTAAATCGCCTGGCCCACGGATGCTTGGGAAGGAGCAGAGGGCGGAGAGTCGGAGGCCACGTCCTGAAAGAGCCCAATGCAACTCTCCAATTAGTAAGGGATAGGGGGGTTTCCCAAAAGTAGGGGTGCCTTGTTGGGGTCCCATAATAAGGATTACAACATTCTGGGGTCTATATTGGGGTCCCCTTATTTTGGGAAACTACCCTATATAGGGTTGAATTTAAAGTTTTCGGACTTAGAGTTTAGGGTTTTAGGACTTCGGGTTTAGGGATCATGCAAAAGAAAATGGAAACTACTACATGATAATGGAGTATAAAGGGGTATGTAGGGATATTACCCCAATAATGGAGAATCAAATGGAAAAGAAAATGGAAAATGAAATGGAAACTGGGATTATATAGAGGATTACAATCGCCTGTATCACCCGCTTCAAAGAGTTTGGACTGCTCTTCAATTAGGAACCCCTTTTTGGAGAGTTTCTATAACAAGCCTAAACCCTCAACAACCCTGAACAAGAATTGTAGCATTGATTGGGATCCCTCGTTTTCGGAAACCCGCGCATTTAGGTCTTGGAGGATCAAATCTCCTCGTCTTCCTCCAGCTCTTCCTCCTCGTCCTCCTCTTCCTGGGGCTACTAACGTTACTACTATTTCTACTATGGCTACTATGACTAACAATGGATTATTACTGTTGCGATTTTCTTTATTGGGACAAGAGATTGTAGTATGTCTTGCCTGCCTCGTCCGCAACCTCGTCGTCTTCTGCATCCTGGAATTCAGGGCATCCAATCACAGCAGGAGAAGCCCGAGCAAAAACAAGGCTAAAACCAATTGTTTGCATAGCTAGTGCAATGTTAGCATTGCTGCGCCTCCTCACCATCACCCGACAGCTCCAGTTTGAGCTGTCTCAGCTTTTGCTGTCTCTCTCTCAGGGCGTCCATCTCTGGCGATTCCTCCTCCTGCAGGGACTCTCCTTCCGCTAGACTGAAGACAATAGGACCCACGCCTCAGCCGCTGGCTGCGACAGGCGCCTCCAAAAAAAGGTTGGCTGCGCCAGGATTTTTCATGATATTGTTACCAAGAAAGCTGGTCCCTGCCTGCTACGCAGACCTCGCAGCCACTGGGAGCCACCCTGACAAAGGTTCTGGTGTTCAAGTCACAGCTCTCCGAGGGCTTACAATGGCGCCTCGATTCCATCTTCGGCATCCGTGCCTAGGATATCCATGTTCCCAGCATGTGAGCCATAGTCTAAACTCCTAGTAGACCCCGTAGTAACCCCTATAATTCTTTCTTATATAATGCCTCATATAACCCCCTTTCAAGGAGTTTAGACTATAGCTCAGGTCTGTTGAAGTTGCACCTTGCTGGATAAATCAGGCCAGGATGCTCCCCATGGCACAACAAAGCGCAGGGAGGACGTGAAAGCGGTTATTTGGGGCTCCAAGTCGTCTATAAATACTACCTACATTGGACCAAAGTCTTTAGGATAAACGTTACCTATACATTGGACCGCAAAGTCTATAAACGTTACCTGCAGTAGACCTCGAAGTCTATATACATCCCAATAAACCCCTAGTTTCCATTTAACTTTCCATTTGGTTTTACATTTGATTCTCCATCACTACCTCCATTGGGCTTATTTAGAGCCAGCGGGTTTGGTGTCAAGAATAAGTTGGGGAAAGCCTCGCTGGCATGATCATCCACATCTGGCACTTTGCAAGCTACTCCGCGAAAACAGAGGTTCAAGTGATGCTGGGAAATGCAATGCAGATTGTTGTAGAGGCTGTGCCTAAATGAGGCTCATGTCTTGCTCTGCGGCCAGGACATGCAAGTCAAAGCTGCCGGAGAATCTCTGCTTGCTCTAAAGCCGCAACTTCCAAAGATGCTGAATCTTCCCTGGTGCTGGAACACGCGCCTTTTTTCGATAAATGCCTACGTCTTGCGGAACTCTTGACCCCCTCGCCATCACTCAGTGATCTGCGGGGCTGTGAGACGGCAGATATGACGTTCACGCCAGCGTGGATGCTGACTTCAGCGAAGTTAAGGTTGAGCCAAGCCGAACGCCCTCATTCACTGGCCCCAGCGCAGCGCCTGTGAAACATCTCTGGCTGCTGACACCTCTCTATCCTACATTATCGCCTAATAGACTATATAATGCTATATTATGCTATAGTATACTTTGTATCCTCTCTGCCCAAAGCGCGGCCTCGTGGAGGAGCAGTAGCCTCAGCTCCACACAGCACGGAAGTTCTCTGACCGTGCCTCCTGCTGCAGCTCCAAGCACTGAGGTCTCCGGCTGCCGGCGGAGGAGGCGCGTTTCCGAGGGAAGCAAAAGCTTTCGGCTTCTCGCTGTGCACAGGGCCGGGCAAGGCCAACTGTGGCGTCGGCCTCAGGGTTTCGCAGCTTCAGGGCGCCTTCGCATCCCTTGGTCGTGGTGGGGAGCGTTGCGCAGGGTTAGTCGAAAACATGCCTAAAGCGAGTCCTACGGGATGAAAATTATCTGGCAAGCCTCGAGCTGAAGTAAGGGTGAGCCCTGCATCCTGAAGCTGCTACCATATCAGGATAAATAGGGTAATGTAGACTATATTGGGCTTCTATTGGGATAATGGAAATAAAATGGAAACTACTATGTTATTATTTAACGTTTAGAATGAGCAGCACTCAGATCCGGGGCAAAGGGCGCTGGCAAAGGCTTCGCAGGTGGTGGCGCCGGCTCTTGGCCCACCAGCGCCATGTCACCTCCCAGGCTCGGCTTAACTTACTGCTTGTGCTAGTAGGGAATAAGGGAATGTCTTGGGGTTACATAGGGCTCATGGAAAAGAATTTGGAAGCTACTACATTGTAATGGGGCACATGTTGGGGTTATGGTGGGGAATAAGGGAATATATAGGGATCCTATTCCCTCATTCCCTACTGAGAACCAGTGAGTCAATAGAATGAGCTGGAACGTGTCATCTCAGAAAGCCAGGCGTGCCTGTCCAGGCCACTAGCTCACTGCTGGCGGCCTGGGAGTGAATTCTAACGAATTGATTTTGTGTATACAATTATATGTAGTTCTACAAGTCTAGGTGTGTATATATATATATATATGTATATGTATATAGATATACATACTATAAATATAGATATAGATATAGATAGAAATCTCTATATACATGAGCTGCCTAATTACCAGCTGCGCTCCGCTCACACCTGATGTTTGCCTGGCCGAGCCCGGCGCCAGTGTGGGCTGATCAATGTTTACGTGAAGCTTCTGGCTCAAGGACGGCGCGTCCTGGCAGAACATCGTCTGCACTGTAGGCCCTACAATGTTACAATCCCCTGGAACTGGGATGAACTATGTACATCTATTATATGAGTACCCAACTTATCCCGGTTCCCATTTCATTTTCCACGTTCTTTTCTATTTGATCCTCTTGCTCGTACATGAATTCAACAGGTTGAGCCGACCCTAGGGACCCAAATAGCCCAACGTAGGTAATATTAACAGACTTTAGGGCCCAAGGGTTGGTGTTATTTGCATAGCGTTTAGGGTTTGGGGTTTAGGGGATTGTATACCTGGATCCATATATAGCCCCTTTATAAACTCAGCTTCCATGTCATGTTCCATGTTCTTTTCCATTTGATTGTCCAGTATTGGGAGGAGCCCTAAACCCTAAACCCTGAAACCCTAATCCCCAAACCCAAAACCCCAAAACCCTAAACCTCTATCCCCAAACGCTCAACCCCCATCCCTAAACCCTACTTGGGGCGGTTGGGGGGGTTTAGGGTTTAGGGTCCCTAGGCCTCCAGCTTGTTGATCTTCCGTAAACGCCCCGGTGGAGCCCAGACGGCCACCCGGCCATCCGTGGAGCAGGTGACCTGGAAGCTCACAGATCCAACTTCCCGGCCACAAGCAAGTTACTGGGGGTTACCAGGGGATAAGGGAACGTACATACATGGTGATAGTAGGGAATGAGGGAATATGATATATGGGGATTCTACAGGGATTCTACTCCCTTATTCCCCACTCACCACCAGTAAGACACAATGACAAGGCCCCGAGTTCCACGCCAGAAGCCTCTTCTTTCCACGGCCCTTGCCAGGCCGGTTGAACCACCGAACCTGCTTGACCCACCTTGGCATGGTAGTTTCCCAAAATCGGGGGACCTCAATGAAGACCGCAATATACTATCGTCTATAATCCTTATTGCCTTATTAATGGGGGCCCCCCAAATGGTACCCCGAATTTTGGGAAACCCCCACATGAACATATGCAGCAATAGCAAAGGCCAGCGCAAGCTCGCTGAGACCGGGACGAGTCGTGAGCCCTGAAGACCGCCAGCAAGGACGGGACGGCGATAGATGAAGCATCCCACACCTGCGTTGGTTTAGGGCTTTTTTTAATATAACAAGCCCTGGGACTTTTCTGCCTGGTTTAGGGTTTAGGGGCTTAGGATTTTGTAGAGGATGCACCCTTCCTACAGTATCTGTAAACCCGCAAAAAGACCTGAATGCTGTGCCAGAAGGGGGAAAGCCGAGTCTGAAAGCTATTTCTAAAATATTCGTGTTAACTCTACAAGTACTACGGAACTGCAGGCCATTGCTGGGCGCACCCGAACCGTGCAGTCTGCAGATCCGGATGCCAGCAGGCAGGCATCTCTCGAGAACTCGAGGAACCAAACCTCAGAGCATCAAGTCTTAACATCCTGAGTGCGAATATAGGGATAATGTAGGGATAACTGGATAACGGAAAAGAAAATGGAAACTACTATGTTCTTAAAGAAGTATATAGGATCTGCTCTATACGGATTATGTAGGGATTATATCCTCAATACTCGACGCCTCGGGCATCGAGAATGAACTAGGGTAGCCTGTGCCATGAACGAGTCTGGCAGTAGTGATGCAACAGCTTTTCTCGTCAGGCGCCAGCCCTCCTGTACAAGGCTTAGGAGCATTTCACACTGAGAGCCATTTCAGCGACATGAACCATAGTCTAAAGTCCTAGTATCCCCCTTAGTAGCCGCTAGGATATTCGCCTATATAATGCCCCATAGAACACCCTTGACGGAATATAGACTATAGCTCAATATGGCCTGCCAGGGCCAAACCGCTTGATTTGGATCTCATCACGTTCTCTGTCCACCATGGCATACATCCACAAAGGCCTGCCATCAGCGTGCGGCAAAGGAACGCCGAGAGACTCTGTGGATCCGACCAGCTTCGTGTTGCAGTAGAACTCGACCAAGCGAGCCTCAGGATCGGCGTAGACGACGATGATGTCACCCCCTTGCACACCAGGAACTTCAGCAGGATTGAAATGTTGGCCACCAAAGAAGAAGACTGGCATCGCTTGCTTTTTGGAGAAGATCCAAGTTGTATCTACAGAAAGGTTGTCATGGTCTGACAATTTCTCTACCGGCCTGTGATAGGTCACACCAAAAGACATCTCATCTCCGGCACGGACCACTTCAAACTCCACGAAGCACGGCTCCTGAATCCCATGGCGCAGGAAGACGTTGTTGGAATCCGGGAATCGTTTTGTCTTCTTCAGAGTGCGGCACTCACCAGAAAGCTCGATGCCTGAATGCTCGGCGCTGACAAACTGCCCCAGGTCCAAGAGGGGGTCGAACTTAAGAAGCTGCACCTCAATCTGCAACTGACCCTCCTTGAGGAAACTCTCAAGCGTCCTCTCTTCATCCATGCGCTCAGCTTGCACGAGCAGCCGAAAGGCGACAGGATCCAGGTCCCACGTTTTTGCGACTGCAGCTTTGATGGCTTTCACGGCTTCCGTGCCAGGAAGCTCAAGCTCCAACGAACGTCCGACAAGGTCCACAACAGTAACTTTCACTGACATTGACATGGCTCAGTGCAAAGGCTCCTGGTCTTTAGGCGTCTGCTAACAGCTGCAGGTCCAGGAGGTGGAAGACTTCCCTCCAATCTGACGACATCTTTGGGCTCCGGGCAGCCTCTGTGTGACCTCGTAGCCGCTGGTGGCCTGTTTCAAGGATTCAGAGCTCTCCCCTTCCTTCTAAGACGCACCCAGAGGCACCTGTCACCTCGGCGGTACCTTACAGCAGATCTTTGACACCAGGAGGGTGGCTGCCTTGCACCCCCCAACCTCGCTGGAAGTCAGGGGTAAAGTCCCAGATCCAGACGCCTCCATCCTGCGGCGCTTGTGCTATGGGCTATTCCTTGCGCACTGCAGTCGAATGGGACTGAGTCGAAACCCCGCACCCGATCGCCCACACGAACAAGCCTCTGTTACATACCCTTGAAACGGGCTAGAAAAGACTTCAAATTACACATGAGCTATAGTCTAAACTCCTAGCATCTAAACTCCTCTCAGAACCCCTAATAAGCCCTAATAATACTCCCCTATAGACTCCCTCTGAAACCCCGTTTTAAGGAGTTCAGACTATGGCTCACCTGGTTGCCCACTGCTGCAATGCCCGGGTAGACGGGATGGCATGCCAGGCTAAGAACTGCTCCGCCGTCACCGCCTGCTTCAAAAGGTTTAGGGTTCAGGGGGATACCTTTAAGACTTTAGGGTTCTATAGGGGTGTATAGGGATGATGGAAAAGAAAATGGAAGCTACTATATTTAGGGTTTAGGCTTTCCCACAGCTAGGGATGCCTTTCTGGGGGGTCCCAAGAATAAGGATTGTAGTATTTTGGGGTCTATATTAGGATCCACCAATTTTGGGAAATTACCAAATTTCTCACAGGCTGCACGCGCGATCGACCCCGATTCCACTGGCCTGCAAATCGCCCTCCCAGGATCATCTCGTCATCCTCCCTCTTCACATACCACGAGGCGACAGAGCCGTCTGCGCCAACCGATAGTGCCTCAAATCCGAAAGAGAGGAACTAATAAGGACTATGTAGAGCTTTTCAGGCCCAATAGGGTTCTAAATCTGGGGGGGATACCTTTGGGGGGGGGTACTATTGTAATCCCTTAACATGGGAGGCAGTACTGTGCCTGCATTTTTTCTGAGGCTCCAGCGAGAAGCGGCTCGGCGGGCGAGAACGCTACACTATGAACCTCATGTCACATTAGAGACAAGATGCCTGAAATGGTTGCCACTCTTGGTTGCCCCTTCGCTCGCTTTCACCAGACAGCTGAAGCCCAGAGCTAAAATTCAGACAGACCACATAGACAATGAAGCAATCAGACTAGAAGGTTCTTGCTGGGTCTTTACAGCTGTAGTCTAAACTTAATAACCCCTATAGTAGTCCCCTAGAGAATCCCCTATATAACCCCCTTCAAGGAGTTTAGACTATAGCTCATATGTAAAGCCTAGCAGAGCATCACCTGCCAGCTTCCCACAAGGAAAACTGGACCACTGCAGAAACTGGGTTGCTGTTAAGGAACTTAATTAAATTACCATAATGGGTATATATAGTAAATAATAGGGTTTCCCCAATATAGTAACTTAATTTAAGTTCCTTAACAGCAACCCAGGAAAAGGGCAGCTTTGACACGCTGCAAAGTCTCAGCTTCGGGCAGAACCCTGGTGCGCTTTCCACTTCTTGATGGGGCTGGCATTCTCCGCTTCCCAGAGGAACTGGCAAATCGGTGCTCTGAGTTGCCAAAGCGTGGATCAAGGAAATAACAATACAAATAAATGGGAACTGTAGTATTAGAATGATTGTAATAATAGTCATAATAATATTGGTAGTTTCCCAAAATAAGGGGACCCCCAATATAGACCCCCAAATATTATGATCCCTATTATTGGGACCCCCAAAAGGGTACCCCTAATTTTGGGAAACCCCCATTAATGGCAGCAACAGTAACGAAAGCATTAATACTCTTGCCGGGGGTGCCATGTTGGAGTCCTGGTCTCCCGAGATCAAATATCCGGCATAGGAGAAGCTCAGGCACCTGCTGGTACAGCCCAATTACTATCACTATGACTAATACCATTATTATCGATATTAAGAACTATTTCTATAATTACTACTATTCCTATTATTGTTACTTTCTACTATTATTTTCTACTGTTATTATGGGAATTCATATTCTAGCCTTTCATCTGATCTTTCCCCGGCCTGATGGCGGCCTCGTGGCCTCGGAGTACGCCCAGTGGGCTCCCGTCTTGGGCATCCTGGCGGGGAGGCGATGCTCGGACCAATCTGCTTACCGTGGGTTAGCAGGGAGGGGAAATATGTAGGGCTTATATATGGGAATCTCCCAAAATCAGGGGTACCGCGCGGAGGTCGCAATATAAGGATTATAGAATTGTGGGGCCTATATTGCGGTCCCTTCTTCTGGGAAACTGCAATATAGGGAAATGTTCCCTTATTCCCTACTAACCACCGGTAGGTCTGTTTTGAGAAGAATTCTCCCATGCCCAGAGCGGACCCAGAGGCGGATGGTCTTGTCACTGCTTCCAGAAGCCAGAGTAGTCCTTGGATGAACTTCGCAGATTGTTGGGTAGGACCAGGGTATGTGACTGAGGCTGCGGCTCATTGGTGGAAAACTTTACCTCCCAAACTTGATCTGAGTGGCCTTTCAATGACACCTTAGCACCATCTAGGGCAACCTCTCCCTCTGCGCTGGAGATGTGTTGTTCCAGTCGAGTGCCCCACCAGAAGCTCCATGACTTCCAGGTCCCACAAGTGCACCTGTGATTCTCCGATTCTGAGGGAGTTGCCTAGCAAGGAACACCATCTGCCCTACCTCGTGGTCCGCTGTTGCAGCCATCATCATGTTCACCTGGTACGTGGTCTGGTCTGGCATACTCTGCAGACCCATACCGCAGCGGCAGGGAGTACGCACAGGGGCGCACCTCTGCGATGGCCACTGCCCATACCGGGTGTGTAGCCCCTTTGCGCACACGAAACTTATCAAAGCGCCGGTGGCTCTTGTACCTCCCGAAGCAAAACAGACTGCGATCATGGACTCAGATGATCTGTAGTCTAAACTCCTCGTACCCCGCTTAGTAACCCCTATACTACTCCCCCATCTAACTCCTTATAAACCCCCCTTTAAGGAGTTTAGACTCGTTTAGGCTATGGCTCCTTTTTTTAAGCCCCTGGCCTGTCTGGAAACTCAGGCACCAGGCTGCAGACTTTCGTGTAGTTCCGAAGAGGCTGCGTGGATACATCTGAGTATATCTCTTGGGCCTCGGAGCAGCTGGATCTCACATGAAGGCAGCTAGAACATGCCCCCGAAGGCCCTGTCTCTGCGCTGCAACTGGCCATTGCCCATCTGCACGTGCACTGAATTCCAAGGCTGCAACCTACATTCCTACATCTACGTCATTGGAGCAGCAGCTGGCGGACATGGGTGATTGCCATGCCCCAATCTCACAGGCTCCCGCAGCCGCAACTTGCTTGACAAGGACGCAGATTTTCCCGGCAGCACTGCCGCATTCCGCGCATTGGAGAAACGAACGCCTAGTTCCCAAGCAAAGCCACGGAGAGGCCAAAACCTCTCGTTGGAAGGTGGGCTCGATCCACTCGCACCCCTCTTCTGTGAAGAGCCATTCAAAGGGCGCTCCAGAAAACCCCTATATAACCCCTATATAAACCCTATATAACCCCTGTATAATGATAAACACCCTGTATCTGCAGCTCAGGAGGGAAGAAGTGCCGCCTGCACACCAGCTCAAGGCAGCGGCACGCTTGAGAATAGTAGCGTTGTAGGAGGGGGCCTGCTTGTCATCCTTGACCTCCCAGCCTCAACTTGCGCATAGTTAGTATCCACTTACTAGTGGTTAGTAGGGAACAAGGGAGTATGGCATCTAGAGGGATTATGTAAGGATTCAATCCCCTTCTTCCCTACTAAACCCCCCCCCCAGTAAGTGTCTAAGCTCTTTAACCGCAGCGACTCTTTCAGACCTTTTCTCTCTCAGATGCGCAGCTTTTGAGAGGCCCGAGCATTGCTGTCCTCCCTGAGGCCTGAGGCCCACGCCCTTCGAGGACCACTCTCGGCTCTGAACGTTCCATGATAGCGGCTGATACCGGGCGCAACTTGGCGCAGAGTGCCTTAGAAAGGCGCTTCTCAACCCTGCCATCAAGCGACAGGGGAATGTCAAGACGAATTCTTCACAGACCGTGCTGCACAGATCGGCCTGTGCTTGGACTTGCCATGCGCATGTGCCTGCCGCAAGTTCACATGGGGGGATCAGACAGCTCACACGGCCACGCATGTACGCTTCAATCGGCCATACGTCAGCCCGAAACATTCCGTTGTTACACGCCACAAGCTCCGGCCGGCTTTGGCTGGTCCATCCGGTTTACGATTACAAAGACCGTGAATCACAAAAACCTCGATCTGTAACCCCCCACCTTCCAAGCTGAGACGCCAAAGCCTATAGTTACACCACAATGTCATCGTCGGCCGTGGCATCCGCCTCAGCTCAAGCTGTGATTTGAGAGGCATGATGCTGAGGCACGTCCGAGAGACTGGCACAGCAATACCAAGTGAACCAGCCATAGGTGTACTCATCGGCGAGGTCTCGAAACTTGGGTGGTGCTTCGGTCACGTTATTGGGACAAGGCACAACGCAATTCACTCGGCGCAGGACCCACCCTCGGAAGAACGCCTGTGTCAGACGAACTGGTGTGCTCGGGAGCGCCGAATCAACTGGCAAACCCTGACGCGGCTCATCGTGAGCCTTGGCATGTCGCTCCCTCTCGCGCTGGGCCCGCAGACGCTTCAACCTGGCATCCTGAAGACTTCCGCCGCGTGAAGAATGCCGCTACTGGAGACGAACCGCATTCGGCCACAGCGTCAGTCGTTGACAAGCCCCATCGGGACGCCAGCGCGCCTGCCAGAAAGAAAGCAGTTGGACAGCGAAAGTCAGACCAACCGCATGAAGCGCATACGCACCACCCCCCCAGCGGGTCGGAGCATTAAGAAGAAAACAAGAAATGGCGAGGGCGTGGGGGGGTTTCATAAATCCTGACCATCGCCTGTTCTGCTTCCTAACCTAGGAATCCTTCATGGCCATGCCCGGGCCGGCCAGCTTTCGGTTTCTCGTTGGCACCATCTTAACGCCGACTCCTGCCAATACAAGAGCATCACAAAGCAGCACGCAAGCAACTTGCAGAAGGGTAGTTTTGGCAGCAATTGCCAAACACATTAAGGGATTTGAAGGTAATGTTGGACCCTCTTTAGTATGTAGTCCCCCCAAACAATTTTTTGGATCCTGAATTAAAATTGTTTGAGGTGTCCCCAGGAATGGTGATAGTATTAGTATTAGTATGAATATTAGTATTAGTATGAGTATTTGTATTAGTATGAGTATGAGTATTGATATTAACCCCTGAGCTCTTGAGGCCCTTAAGCTCTGACTTATCTGATGAAGAAATAAGCAAATGAGAACTATTCTAAAGTAACTATTTAAACTTTTGAGACCTAAAATTAGGAATTTTGCCCCCAAAACTTGACATTAAACAGGGT